CCAGAATACAGTGCGGTATTTTCAAAAGGATGGCGAATCAGAAGCCGGCTGCTACTTCGGGGGAAATTTTCAAATTTAAATGTAAGACAACTAATTGTAGCAATCGGGCTGATATCTGAAATGGTTTTTTTAGATCCAAAGCAGTTATCTATGGTTGGTTAGTTGCAGCTTCGGTGGCTAGCGGGTATTAACTCACTTACATATTACATAACCCTTAGACCCGCACCCATCTATTTTAGACCCAATTTTTACAGTTTATGTTACAAAGTTGCCATATTTCTTTCAACAACTGGGTATCATTGAATTCCTTTTCAACAACATTTTGATGGATGTTTCCAGAGATTAATGGTAAAAACTACACATTGTAACTTTAACGTTTGTATATTTCATGAGGAAGACAGGGACTGACTGTGATGGGCCTGATATAATAAATATGATGTGTTTACATTAGCTATTGATGATACTATATTTCACCATGGAGGGTGTGCCGTACCATCCTCTGCCTCTAATTATTTGTTCCAATGTAAGATTATGTGTGCTAACATTATGTTAGTTTTTTAGCCCTTTAGGCCCTAATCCTTTTTACTTTGGGCCCTGGCGCCTCTCAATTGGGGGCCTTTGGAGTTTCATGTCCCAAGTGTCAGTGATTGTTTGCATTCCCCGCTACAGCTACAATCAAAACAGTTTGTATTGTAAACAAAGCCATTTTTGGTTTTTGATACATTAAGATAAAATAATATTTGAACTTTATTTTAGAAGAGCTGCCCTGTGTGAAAGTGCTGGCAGGATGGAGGCTGTGAGTTCAAATTCCATTTAGGAAATTTAGTCAAATGTTTTATTTATTCCAGGGGTCCTCAACTGAATTTGGGTTTTTCCCCCCAGCAGACACCAGAGAAGGCTCTACTAAAATAAAGTTCAATATCATTGTATCTTCATTTATTACAATTTAAAATAGCCTTGTTTCCCATCTGGGCTGTTTGGTTGTGGTTTTAGTTGTGTTTGGAGAATGTGGACAGTTGTAGATGTTTGGGACATGAAACTGTAGAGGCCCCCAATTGGGGGGTGTTAGGATTAAACAGGTTAGTATGACGAGCGTCGCCATTAAGAGATATGTTGTCTCATCCCGGTGTGTGAGTAGCACCTGAGCCCGGTGACCACGCCAACAAGAAAAACTTGTAGGGATCTGGACTTTTTTTAATCAGCTCCAGTGTAAAGTGAAACTTTTTCTCACATAATGTTATAAATCCAGCAGGTGAATTCTGGCCAAGTTGACTACTTGTTCACATCGGTGAATAACAGCAGGGAGAATGTAAACTAACTTTTGTGAGCTAGCTAACACATAACTTTTGTAAATAGCTCTCTCCATGAGCCCAACCTAGGTGTGGTAAGTCTTCCCACAAGGGCTTGAACTAGTAGAAACCAGGCTGAACTGGCAAAATAACGTTTCCTCTCTGTTCATACGACTAGTTGAAGCCATGCTAAACATCACAAAAACAAAGGCAACAACAACAATAAAAGATCTCAGGCGCTATTTTTCCTTTAGTTTAGTACTTGTGCCAATCACTGTTTACTACGCTTTTTCAGTGACTTGATGCAACCTGCTGGGTTTCTTATAAAGGAAACTTTTTACTGGTTGGCTTAATGAACTGACCTGTGTTGGAATGTTTACTATGTGAAGGTCCTTGAGACGACTCTTGTCGTGATTTGGCGCTATAGAAATAAACTTGAGTTGACTTGAATTGAATTTCCAACCAAAATGGTGGACCCTCATACTTAGGTGATGTAGATGTAAATGGTCAATGGCCTCTAAAGATAGCACCTAAGGAGCAGCTGTAACTCAGGAGGTAGAGAGAGTTGTCCAGTAATCGGAGGGTTGTAGGTTTGATCCTGGCAGAGAACGCTGCTGGTGGTGGTTGGAGGGATTGGTGGTGCCTGTGTTTGGCAGCCTTGCTCATCAGGGCGCCCCAGGGCTACATTGCAGCTCGTCACCACCAGCGTGTGAATGGGTGAATGGCTGATTGTGTTTTGAAGCAGCTTGGGGGGTTGTAGAACCCTAGAAGACGCTATACAAATACAGGCCATTTACCATCTCTGCAGTCTATGCCCTATTTGCTCTCCTTAGTTTATCATCAGGCCCTTGAGATGCTAGCATTAGCTTTACCAAAATGTACCAGTCTGGTGTCTGTTGCTTCCGTACTTTCTTTAAGTCAGTCTGATGCTGTTTCATCTTCCTACACTGTGTGATCCTGCACCTGTTCTACCAACACTTTATCCTGTTTCCCGTTTGTCATTCCCCACATGTTCCAAGGATCTCATGGACAGGTATGCCTACGGGATACAGGCAGCTAAACGAAGAATCGTTAACAGAATTTCAGACCTTCTCATCCACTTTGTCAGACGCTCCAACTCAGTGCACCTGTGTTCTCATGTTGTTTACCTATTCTTTATTTTCATACATGTATTCATCACCTGCTCCTGCAGTGCACATTGTTGATTCATTCTTGTATTTTATTCTGTCTTCATCTGCAATCTGTTTCACTTCCACCTGATGCTCCTCTGCTAAACTCACAACTGACAGTGTGGTTGTGCTCTCAAACCCTTATATAAACGCTGAAAAAATGTGTCCTCTGTGTGCTTGTGTTTGGATGTTAATTAGAATTATTTGGACGCTGTGGTACACAACGCTGCTTGGTCCAAAAAGGCTGAAACATGACGTATACTACAGTCTCCCTGGGTCGTAGGACCACCGCTGCAGCGGTGGCTCCATAGACCTGCAGCCACTCTAGAGGAGGGAAGCGTGGGGCCACACAGCCCTGGCGCCTGGCTTAGCTTGTTGCGGTCTGAGGCTGTGTTGTGTTTGTCGCCTGTGGAGCTCTCTGAGGGAGACCGCAGATGCCTCTTTGTCCATTTTTGTATTGTCTAGCAGTGTTAGGTCATGTGACACATCCAAGATGGTGCTGATTGGAAGCGCCTACTTGGCTTCAAGTCGAAGCCTCAGAAACCTGAGTGATGTCACGGAGGGTCTGTCCCTTATTTTAACAGTAAATGGCTTTACGTAGATGTTAGTTTTGTTTGTGTATGAATTTGGTACGCCCTCCCTCTTCTTCCTGCGTGCATGTATGTATGTGCATGTGTGCTGGGGCGGCGTTAGGCCCGGCTACTTGGCCTGAAGCCCCGGATGTTTCATGGAAAGCCCCGGATCTAAATCGCAGAAGTAACATGCAGTACCAAAGTCCAACAGAGAGGGAGCAGCTGGCAGTAGTTTGTATACAGCCTGCCTGAGCCTCCACCACTGAAGAAGAAGCCCTTCAGCAGCTGGCTTCTTCTGCAGTGCCTGCCTGAAACGCATGAGTGAAGATGGACATAAGGACGTTTTTTAGACCAAAAGAACAACGACAGAACCCCAGCTTTGATGAGACTGGTGTTGACTCAGGTTTGTGAGTCTTATTTGAAAATATTTGTTGTGCTGCTGGTTTGCCTAAAGTTAGCTTATCAGGTAAAGTTGATGGAGAAAGAAAGGGAATATTTACTATCATCTCACACTAAACACTAACGGGAACAATACTCTGCCCTGAATATGCTTAATATGTAGCTTCAGATTAAAAATTATGTGGTACAAGACATATATGATGTTGACTAGTGCGTGTCACGTGTGTGTGCGTGCGCGCGCGTGCGTGCGTGTGCGTGCACGTGCGCGTGTGTGTGTGTGCGTGTGTTAAGCCCCGGATGTTCTTCAGTCCTTAATCCGCCCCTGCATGTGTGTGTTTATATATGTATATGTCTCTGTGTATGTCAGTATATAGCTATGAATGTCTTTAATTTTTTGTACAAACATTAGTGCATTTTTAAATTTGCACAATTCTTAGAATTAGTTTAGGTGAAGATTGCCGCTCTCTATCCCTGCAACATATGAACGTCTTATTGGTTTTCAAAGTATAAAATTAAATAAACAAAATGAAACCTTTTGTTTAGAAGTGATTCGGTGTGAAACAGAGTGTAGAACCATCGGTGAAGTGGCGAGGTGATTTCTGTATCATGACTGTAAATCCACCGGTCTACAACTGGTGGTGACAAATACTGGTGGGCCTTCATGAGGGAAACGTTTGGACACATCTCCAACACGTCTGACTCTCCGTCTGTCTGCTGCTGGGACTTTTAACATGTTTGCAGGAGAAAACTTTTTATAGAGTATTGTCAGCATTGAAAGCCATTTAGTTTGTGAGTTGGAAAGAACTTCGACACCACCTAGGGAGAGTTGGTGACCTAACTGTAAATAAAATGACAAAAAAGTCCAAACAACAACAAAAAAACACTTTGACTAACTTATTACACAAATACAAATTTACTGGTAAATTTACTGAATAGAATACAGTACAAATGTTCATTTATGTCAGTAATTCAACCTAAATGTGAAACTAATCTATGAGACAGATTAATTGCATTCAAATCCAGACATTGCAAGCTTTTATTAGTTATGATTGTGATGATTATGGCTAACAGCTGATGAAAACCCCACATTCAAAATCTCAGACAATTAGGAAATCATGAAAAGGTTCAATTTTCTAGACTCAAAGCGTCACACTCTGATCAACTAATCACCTGCAAAGGGTTCCTGAGCCTTTAGATGGTCTCTCAGTCTGAGTTGAATTACTGAAATAAATGGACTTTTGCACCAGATTCTAGTTTATCAAGTTTCACCTGTACATCGTATTTTCTTGCAATTTTGTATCTCCACCCCATCACCAACAGCCATGTTGCAGTCAGAGAGTTGGTTTAGGTAGCAAACGCATTCAACCCTTAATCTGCTTACTCATCTAAATCCCTTTGTTAAAAATGCAGTCATCGGGGTACTTGTTAGCCTTCATAGGCAGACAGTGAGACCGTATTTGTACATTTAGGAAAATAAACAAAACACCAAAACTCTACATGATAGACAGTTGATTTGATTCCACATTGCAAACATTCCTCCCTCGTAAAAGATCAAAAATGTTAAATCTTACCTGAATGTAACACTCTCCAGGTGGTACCGTTCTTTGGCCAACAATGAACTGCCAGAACAAGATGGCAGGAGCCCACAGGATGAAGGACAGTATCCACGCTGCTGCGATCATTAATCCCGCCATCTTGGTGGTCCTTCTGGCTGGGTACGTCAAAGGTTTGGTTACGCAGAAGTAGCGGTCAAAGCTTATGATCAATAAATTCATCACAGAGGCGTTTGAGACGACGTAATCTAGGGCTAGCCACAAATCACAAACCACTGGCCCAAGAGGCCAGTAGCCAACGATGATGTAGAGTGTGTACAAATTCATGCTGAAAACCCCGATGATCAAGTCAGCACATGCTAACGAAAAAAGGAAGTAATTGTTGACAGTCTGAAGGTGGCGGTTCACTTTGATGGACAGCATGACCAGGATATTTCCTGTGACTGTCACGAAGCTTAGAGATCCTGTTACCAGGGCGATAAAAAACATCTCAACGGTTTTATAGGGATTTCCAGTTGGCACTTCGTTATCAGCCAGAGAGCAGGAGGTTGAGCTGTTGGAGGACTCGTTACAGGAGACGTTGGAGAACAGGTCAGCTGACTGGTTGACCAAGGATTCTGAGAGAAGAAAAAAACAAAACTAATTAGGAGAATTGAGGAGTACACAATCTGAGACATGATTCTACAGTAACAGAGGCCAAGGGTTCACCCTAACTGGTGGGTTGCTGGTTCAAACCCAGGCTCCATCTGGGGCAGTTGTGTCCTTGGGTAAGACATTGCCCTACTTTCCTGCTAATGGTTGTTGGAGGGAGTGGTAGTACTGATTATGTTGCAGCCTTGTTTCTCTGTTCACCCAAGGGCAGCTGTAGCCACAGTGTAGCTCATCATCAGTGTGTGTGAATGAGTGAAGGACTGACTGTAGTGTAAAGCACTTTGGAGAAAAACAGGCCCTTTTCCATTTAGATGTATGATTTTGGATTTGTAGACATTTGTTTTTACAGAACAAAAACTAAAGGTTAATAATATGTTATTATTATTATCTCAGGTTTAAAGTTGTGTACTTTAGTTCTGGTTCTTCTTTAGTAATAAAGATGTTTGAAGCTCTAAATTGGAATTGATTTATCAATGAAACCAAAACATGAGCTTTTCCTTTTACAACGTGAAGGAAACCTTTTCTGAAGCCATGATTAGCTCACCTGGAGCTCTCTCGCGTGTCAAACAACGGACATTTCATGGGACGGGTAGCCATAAACCCGGATCTAACCCTTTGGTGACATTTAGAGTGAGTTATTACATTATAACATAGGTGTTGTACAGAGACAGATTATGGTTCAACAAATGAAACTTTCTTGCTCCAGAGCTGGGACAAACCCACACTACGGCCCTTTAATGTGAAGCGTAAGCGCCAACCAATCAGATCCATGCCCTCCTACTCATTGAGGCAGAGCTTTTAACTCTGAATCCAGGAGTCTGGTTGACAGTCCAACACCAAAAACACGTCCCAGTTTGATGTCCACAAAGCAGATTCTTTACAGACCGCTCTCAAAGAGCGACACATCAGAGAACGACAGCTTCCTGTCTTCTGAAACCCTTAAGAAAGCACTTCAGCTAAATTTCTAATTGCTCTGACGGCCTTACCTTGATCAGCACGAGATGACAAAGTGTAAAGGTATGGTACAGTTAGCTGGACTAGAAACTATGCTTTGAGAAACTTCCCTTAGTTGTCCTCCAAACTAGATTACAGCTGCTGGACATCTTGTAAGCAGAGGTCTGAGAGATGGGGTCAGTAGAACCCAGAGCAGAAGGGTAGTGGGGTTGGGATGGGCTCTGGCCAACCACCTGTGACCGACGGTCTACTAAAGGTGCCTCTGAGTCAGACTCAGCAGCTGACCATCCTGGTTTTGCATGAAGCAACCTGATTGGCCCTTTCTTAACCATCTCAGGACCTGGGAAATGAGTGCAAGTAGAAAAAGAGAACTAATAGATTCCTCTGTGAACTAAAGGTTTGAAGTGATGTCACTCTTGTGGAAGGGGCTTCTTTTCGGACAGGACTTGTTTATGATGCACATTTTATACACCAGAGTGAAACCAGCGTCAAAGAGCATCAAATAAAACGGAATTGAGAATCATAATAGGGTGGACTCCATTCCTAGCGCATTGCTTTGTGAGTGATTATAACATACCGTAAATCCTCTAATACAGGCCTGGGCCTGTATTTGACTCAAGCTTATCAAGCTCCAGGCCTTTATTGGAAGGAGGACCAGAATTAGAGGCAGGCCTCAATTTCTATTTGAGCAAAATGAACTAATGGTTCGCTGGAGTTTTTGACAATTAAAATTGCGCCCACATTTTCAAAGTTAAACACATTTCCTTTAACAACAGTAGTTCCTGCTTCAGCCCCCCCTCCCCCAAATAAAAGAATAAAAGACAGTAAACATAAAAGGAAATGAGCCGACATGAACGATCGCGTGTTAATTTAGTTTTTGAGGTGGCGGCACCTGATTTGATAATGTTACTGTGGCCGTGCTCAGGACGCAGATGTCTGGAGCGCGTCAACAATCAGAGCTTTGCATGCGCAAGCTGGTTAAGGTTAGGATGGGGGTGAGGGGAAGGTTAAATTGCAAGAGGGTAAACGTCACAATTTGATTAAATGTCCGTTTTACGGCGGGCATCAGTACCGACGCTCTGGCACAGCACGTTGCCTCCCGACGCAGGAGCTTGTCACCTGCTGACAGCAGGCTGCTGTCTTTTCCGAGGACTGCATCTTGCCGGTCATTATCACGTGACAGCGACTAGTCGATGACAGGCATAAAAAGTCACTATAGAGCGGTGAAGTCGACTAGTGACTAGTTCATACAACCCCTGCTACTGCTCCCCAGTGTTCTGCAGCATAATCAGCACGTTCTCTTTGAACTTGACATCAAATTTTCGCCTCCTCTTCGTCTCCGCACGTTTAAAGTTACCCTCGCGTTCTATCACTGGCAAATCAAAAGTGAGACGGATGACCCAGCCGCCCCCCGTACTTGCTTGTTACCACATTCCACCCGGCCACAATAAAAAAAACGGCCATTATTCACCTCCGCCGACTCCGACACCGGCCAAAATATGATACCCGGCAGTTAATTAAATACAGGCTAATATTAGAGGATTTACGGTAGTTCAGACCATGAGTCTACACGGGCTGTCTGTGTGTTTTAATCACAGCTGGGACTGGTCCTTGGCTCAATGGTTTCAGTGGTTTCAATGGTAAACCCTTGAACACTGATGCGGCTCTTTTTTATGAGTCATTTTGAAATGGAAGCTTTCTTGTTTGCGGGTCTGAAGGGTTTTGCTTAGACAGCCGTCTGGAACCGGGTCTGCTGGTGAGGCAGCACCTTCCAACAACACCAGAACCTTCTGTAAGAAAGTCCTTGACAGAACAATGTCTGCCGTTATGTAACGTCTCTTACTCTAGCTTTAGATCCTCTGAAGTGAGTTACATTGTCTCTCTCACTCGCACATTCAAACAAAGCCTTCATATTCCATCTGAAATTATAGCAAGAGCTGCTTCCCATCGGGACAAACTGGAGTAAATCCCCTCCAATGTCCAAGAGTGGACACATCTGTGTGTGTGTGTGTGTGTGTGTGTGTATAGACAGCTCAGATGTTGTTGAGCGAACAACGTTACGGCTGATTTCATCACCCATCTCTCTCACAGACAGACACACACACACACACACACACACACACACACACACACACACACGTGCAGTGGTGGACACACCAGGGAACAGATTTAATCTGAAAACTGAGCCTAAACAGAGATGTCAGTTCTCTCCAACTTACTGTGGCATCAGTAGAACCGAGCATCAGCTCAGATCTATCATCTGAAAGCACCACAGCTTTTTATCTTTGGTCAACTTGGCTCTCACCGACATGGGTCTCATTAAATACGCTCCAACTGAACTGACGCTGATGTAATGACATGCTGTGGAGGATGTACATCAGAATATATTTGGGTCATTGGAAGCTGAGCTGCTGTCTGCCAATCACAAGTTCACAAGAGTTCACACCCCAGTCCCGCCATCTTCTGAGACCACCTAGACCAGGGTCCTGGTCCTGGAGGCCCGGCACCCAGCAGGATTTAGTTTTAACTCTGCTTCAACACACCTGATTTTAATCAGCAGGTGATTAGCAGGCTTCTGCAGAGCCTGGTGAGCTGTTGAGCAGGTGATTCAGCTTCTGAGTCAAGTGTGTTGGAGCAGAGAAACCACAACACCTGCTGGGTAGTGGCCTTCCAGGACCGGGATTGGGCCCCCCTGAACTAGATCCATCTTAACGGATGGATTGGACCTCTTGGGTCAGATCTTCTTTTTGAGCCTGAGTAGTTCTTCCATGGGGCTCACGCTCCTGTTTTGTGTTCTAGGCTGATATCTCATAGTCCAACAGGAACATTTCTTCTCACCTCAGATCTACTGATTTGCTGTGGCAGCCATCTTGAATTGGGTTGACCTCAATGATGAACCCCCACCAAACCATGACACTGAGTTTTTCTCCAACCAAAAGGGATTGTCACAGAAACAGTGATGGCACTTCACTTCTCATTGGTCAAAGGTCTCACAACCCATGCCTGCTGACCAATGAAAGAGGTGGGTTCTCTGTCAGGACTGAAGTAAAGCAGAACAAGCCGCTACAGCGTTTTCAGGAGTGAAGGTTAAAAGACAACAAGCTAAAAGATCAACCATATATTAGTTGACTTCTACATGACCTTGTGCTGAGTTTCTCTGCTTTAGGTTCAGATGAGGCATACATATTTATTATTTTAAAGGAGCCATTCACCTGTTACTTCAGCAAACGTGTAGACCTTTTTCACACTTCCTGGGTGTTTAACTTGAAGTACGTCAGTGGCGGAGAAAGCAAACGTTACTGTGGTGTAAAAGGCTGGTTTTCTTATTCTCTAAAGCAGCCCTACCTGTCACGATACGAGGTTAGTAGGACCCAAAATGCAGTACCCCAGGATGACACGAGGCAGGTGATGATATAAAGAAAAAAAATCCTTTATTTTGAAGGATAAAACAAAAGAATAAATCCAAGGCAGGGAGCCAAAATCCAAAGATGTCCAAAATACCAAAAACTAGAGATCAAAACACTGAGGCACGAGAAGCCTAAGTAATACTGGAGATCATGAACGAAGACTGACAGAATTACCACAATGGACCGACACCAAACAGAGACAAGACAGGGCTTAAATACACAGGGAGAAAAATTAAGGAGACAGGAAGCAGGTGTGTGGAGTGAGGGCTGAAGGGAAGGCAGGTGATGCCAATTATCAAAATGGGGAAACAGAACCAGTGGAGGGCAGATAAACCTGAAACACAAAACTAAACCTAAAGGCTGAGGGAAGGGCTCACACCCACACACTGACACACACATCCACTCACACTCACACATATACTCAGCTGGGGAACAAGAGGCTGGAGCTACAATAGGAGGGGCTGAGGATGACTAAATGAACACCGGACCTGAGGGAATGATATGAAGGCCTACAAACAGAAGACACATAAATGAGATGCAGACAAAGGACACATATGGGCGCTATGAGACACAGAAGGGAAACTAAAGAGGGATGGAGAAACATC